AATGTTCGGTTTTGTATGAATAAAACCTGATTGACAGTATTTTCTGTATGTTCGCATGTGTGTCTTGTTTCTATTTATTATCCGTATGTGTGTTATATTGATTGTAAAAAGCAAAAAAAAAAACCTAAAACAAATCATGAGAAAAACAAAAACAATGAACATACATACATATAACATGTGATCTTCATTTTTCTTTTGTTTCTTATAAAGTTCTTTGTTTCGATCTGTAGATTGAATATATTTCGATTTGGATTCTTGGGAAAACTAGATATTGGCTTATTTTTTTTTTGTACAGATATCAAAGATTGATATATAACTTGTTATATATGGGAAAAATGCTGAGGATTTATATAATGTAAACCATGATGTTCTTATCAATTTTCAAGTAAATAGAAGATCGATGAAATTTACAAGAATATAAAATAAATCATTGAAAATAAGTACGGCTTGAATATTTAGTTATAAAGAAAAAGAGAGGTCATACTCGTGCAAGTGCAAAATTAAGAGAAAAGTCCTAATCATTGTAAACTATTTCATGATGTTGTAGTGTAGTGTTTTGCAATCTGATCAGACATCTTGTCCAGAGCAAGAGACCAAATACAAAAAAACGTCAGATTGAATTCGTAGTATAGTCTTATTCTGAGATCGACAATAAATGAGATCTCGACATTCCAAAATATTTTTATTTTTTCAAATCACTAATTTATATAAAAGTATGGAAGCGCAAACAAATTCGATCATGATTCAACGATTTATTGTATATGAGCAGAAGTGAAACACAATTTTGTTTCACTAAAAGAATTCATTTATAATAAAAATTCATCTTCAAATGATGATGAACCACATGACACAGTAATTGAGTGCATAGAAAGGAAAATGAATTATTGAAAAGTCAACATGTATAATCATGTTGAAAATACTATTCATATACATCCATATTATGACGTTTAGCAACAAAACTGCATTCCATTCTATCATTATCAACAACAAGCAAATGTATAATTAGCGAAATTGAATGGATTTTAGAAGCAGACAACAAACAAGTGAATCCTGAATTACTTGTTTCTTTTTTACAAAGTTTGAGAACCATACTATGACTGTGAAAGTATCTGCTGGATGTCGATTAACTTCGATCGGATATCCGATACAGCTGTCCAGGTTCGATTGTAAAAATTTGTATCGATGCAGAATACTGTTTGAGTCCTTCTTTGATTATCATCATTGTGATGATCCATGTATTTTAGATATTTTCATTTAAATATTGATGAAAACAAAACAGTACTTTATTTAGCAAAGGTCTGTATTTTCGTCTCAATAAATATGAATGTGATACACCTACAAATATAATCATCAAATTTTATTAGTCAAAACTTTTGAATTTTCATTTTATATTTTGATTTTGAATTATTTATTAATCATTTAAATATTCTTTTTTTCTTTTCGTTTTAAAATATTGGAAATAAAATCGAGTGAAATATTTGATATGTAACATTGTGATTTACCATTACTACATTTGCTCTAATTAATTAATTGAATTTTATTTCTAATATATATTGTGATGTCATTGCTTTTCGTAATCTGTTCACAAATATCAATCGTCAAGTAGTATTCGACTACAATTCATTGTTTGAAATCTTTTTGTTGAAACATACAATAATATATGAAAACAAAAGATAACATCTAGAAAAGATTCGTATCTATAAGTGCAACCGATTTTGTTTACTGAATTGGATTCAAAAACGTTACAATGATATTGCTGTTAACAAATTTCTGAAAAAAAATCTATATCAAAGGGGAAGAGTATGCAACGGTTAATTGTATTTTTATTTAACAATATGATTATGCATTGTGGTATAACATAAATTTATATTTTTTTATCTAGAAGTGTGAATTATAAGGATTAGTTCTTTATTCGTTCAATTTTCTTTCAGATAAGAAATAATGATGAATAGTTATAATTTAACATGTCGAATAATTAATACTTTAAGTAAACAATAATATTTAAATTCTTTAGTAATTTTTATAATTAATATTAGAACGATCTGATTCAAATGATAATGATTCTCAATATTGTCAGACTTATTAAATCAATGATGATAAAGAAAAAAAAATGAAACAAAATATATTTTACGAATAATCGATCTTGCAAATTTAAAAAAATTTAACTGAATTTATTGTATGTTAATAATTCGTTTAAATTCAAATCATTATTTTTATTTTGTTTTTTTTCTTACAGAAAGAAATTTCATAGTAAAAACCAATTAAATCATTTTAATTTAATGTCAATTAAAGATTATTTTTTGATTGACACTAAACTTCATCTTATTAAACCTTACGTTTCATTTGGTAAGATTAATGTTTCATATTAGCTAAAAAGAAATATGCATGCTATTATGTCATACAAGCTTCTATAATGTTTCAATTAGCATGATTGATCATTAGACTATAAGACTCTTCGTAAGAATACAGAATCTGCTTTGATGCGTTCTTGAAAAATAAAGGTATCCTCGCATGAATACGTCCATTAACTAGTTCTCAGACACAATGTACTTCAATTTTACATCAATCACTTTTGATTAAATACTTTTGTTTGATTCTAAATACCTTTCACATTTTTTTTTTGTTTGTACTTAAATAAGTACGATGTAATCAATTATTGTTTTCGTCTTTAAAACACTAGTAAAGTGATTATATGATGTTGTATGATATTATTCAGCTTAATTATTCCCTAAGAGGCTATCTATCACGGATATCTAGATAAAAATTGCGTTTTTTGATTCTCCTATTGACCCAGTTTCGTCAACCTACTCCTGGACATATGGGCAGACAAATTTTTGGAAAGAGCCTGTTTGTTTAAATATACTGTTTCCTTTTTGTTAAATAAATATATCAAAAACAGAAATTGATATAAAAAAAAGCTGTTAGCATAATTCTTATGGATCTAAAATATGAAACACGATGTGCTTTCTGTTGCTAATCACAGGAAGATTGCTTTATTCGATCTAGTTTGGGATGAACTTCTTTAGCATTCTTAGACTTAATCATGCAGAAATGCAATAAGGAAGTAATTCATATATTGTAACGAGACTTTATTTATATACAGTCTTTGACAGTTCCACATTAATGTCTGTCATGGTCAGTGTGAGGAAACAAGCAGAGTGACTTTTTTCTTCTAATTTTTTTACATTATTCCTTAGAAATTTTCTGTTGTGGATAAAGAACATCTTCAATAGTTCGATGGAACATATTACCTATGTAAAAACGATATGCTGTTTGCATTTTTGTTAACAAAAATCAATTCTTATCTCTCAAGGAGAAACTAAATCAGATCATATTGTAAACAGTTATATATTAAAAAGATAGAAGATAAAACAAACGCCATAAGTATGGTCTGATCGTCATTATAGTTAAAATTCATTAAATATATACTGCAGAACATTATGTGCAAAACTCAGCTCAATATCAAAACAGCAACTCGAAGTGTTCTTTTATTGAACATGTTTTGACCGAGTGGTTGATTAGATAACTGATGAATATCTTATCTTAAAACGCATAAATTTCCAATGGTTTCCAAAAATACTGAAATAGCGTACTTTTTCGAATATGATGCTTATAACACTTTCGTAGTGTATTATAGATGACGAGTGGCCAATTTTTAGGTGTAGCGATAAACTTTAAAATAGATCTACTTTGTTGTTCTTCTTCAATAGAAGAGCGTAAGATTGAAGAAAAAAAGAACATTCAAATCCACACTCGCAACTGATAAGTGAATGGATTCTCTCTAGTGTTGGAAAGCTTTCTTTCTTAACTCTTCTCTCGAACAGAAAATGAAATTCAAAACAAATCATATTACTGCTTGAGAAAATAACTATCTGCTCATGTAGTATAATCTTCAACTGTTTCAACTGATTCATTCAGTTGATTTTGTATTTAAAAATGTTCGTTAAAAGAGAAACTAATGAAGAAAATTTCCCAAAATGTTCAATCCACTTTTGTTCGAGACTATGTTTAGATTAAAGGTCGTGGTGAGTCATGTAAAAGCCTAAGAAAGTTTAATTCTCTAAGCTTTTGTTCTTGAGACATCGAATTTTTACCAAACTTTTAGCATCAATCTGTCGTCTTCCTCAGATGAAGATGAAAATCGTATTTCGAGTTTCAACTTGAAACTTTATACAAACGCAGGTCTCATTAGTACTAGTTCATTGTAAAAATTTCACTGTTTTAAATATTTGATCGCAAGACATAATAGTATAAGAAGAATGATTAACTTTTTTGTTTTATCAGAAAGTTTTTTCAATATTCATATGTCAGAGTAGGAGAAAATTCAATTTTTCCGGTGATTTGAGAAAACCTCAGCTTTGTGTAAAAAAAAAAGAACAGTAAAATTTCGATATATCAAGAATAGAGACTTAGACAAACCGAACTCTTCTCTTAGGCTTTTACACTACTTCTGATGACGTCTCATCTCAGTATAGTCTCGATTGAAAAGTGATTGAATAATTGAGGATGTACTCGTGTGAGCTTTGAAATGTCACTAAAAAGTTGTATGAAAAAAACAAATGAACACATTCATAATAAGTGTCTGAACGTCCCAGAAATGTTTAATCCTTTCTTTCTCGCTCAGTTTTAACGCACTTCTATTTATCTGGAAATCCTTTATGAATGATGTTCAGGAATACTTATTCTGTGGATATTTTTCTAAGGATTATTGTTATTGAAAGATCTTTATTACTCTGGGCAATTTTCCAAGGACATTTATATGTTCGTTATTAATTCAATTAGTATGAACTATATGATTCAATTGTTGATGATTATAAAAGATAGATTAAATCAAATCAATCATAAAGTAATATCTAAAAGAAAAAAAAAAGAATATTTTCCTGTTTAATCAAAATGCTGATCTTCTAACTTCAAATCCATACGGTATATGCGAAAAGTTAATCACTCATATCATATGGCAAACATTACAAGCTATTGGTTATCTTCAAGATAGACATATAATGCATCGGTATATTTTATAATTTTATTCATTTTTTATTCTATAGAAATATCTCTAGGAGTATTGCTTCAAAAAATATTAATCTTTGTGATAATGGTCGTGTTTTATTAGATAATTTTTCTCATTGTATGTTAATGATGTCATTATATGATGGAAAATTACGAAAACATATTTATGATTATACAGATAAACTTAAAGATCAACTATTATATTTAGTATCAGAAGTTTTTTATCAAGTTTATTTAAATAAATAAATAAATAAAGGAAAACTAGAATCTATTTTCATTTTTCTATAAAATACAGATGATTATAATTTAAAAAGTGGTATATATAGTTTAGGTATAGTTGCATGTAAACTTGCTAATGGTTGTCATAATTATATTAACATGCCTTTTGGAAATTTAAGTGTATGAAATTCAATAATTTATTCAATGATATTTTATAAAAAAAAAAATTATATATGTTTAGATGTTATATGCTAAAATACAAGGTTCAGAACCGATTTTACTTGATCAAACTCAATTAACAGAAGAAAGTTATAAAGGAAATATTAGATGAATTTATAATTAAATATCTTATTTTGGATAAATTTAGTGATGACATTTAGTGATAATAGTCACAGTTTATATATTCAAGAAATAAAAAAACGAAGATACACAAAAGAATTTCATTCATTTATTAAATCGTGTGTATCAACACGTCTTGAACTAAGGTAAACGAAAAATTATCTGAGAAAAAAAAATGTTTTTCTGTATGTTATTAGTGTTCATCTGATGAATTACAAATATAATTCATTTTTTAAATATCAACAAAGATTAAATCATGATCAACATTTACTCAATAATGATATGGTTAAATTACTGGAAATATATAAAAGAAAAGAATTAATTAATTAATAATGAAGTAAAAAATATTGAAGAACTTTTTGGTAAATATAAACACACAAAGACAATAACATTGATACATATGTGTATAAATTGTCAATCGAACGCACATTATAATGAATTGAAAATAACCTTGAATAGGTATTTTTCTCGTAATCTCAATTCTTCTATCGAAAATATGAATATTTTTACCGTTGGTTATACTAGAAAATTTGGAACTATCTAGTCGAGCTTATAGTAATTTAGTGTTATATACCATGAACACCAAAATTATTCAACAAGCTTTATTTTCAGTACCATAAGCGATCGAAACAATCCAAATAGGGATTCAAATATTTTTCCGTTTTTTCGTAGTACTTTTAACTTTTTAAGGAGAGATTGTAGATCTCTGGTTACTATCATACTTCATCGATGAAATCTTAGTAAAAGAAAACTTCATTGAGTGAATTTCTTTCTTCATTCGTATGTCGAACATGGATCGATTACTCCTTTTCGTTCTCTATTCTACATAAATTAAGGTGGTACAGTTAGTCTTTGTTATTATAAAATGGGATTTGTTTTTCGATAGCAATCAAGCCCATTGAAGAATTCAAGTTTGCCATTTTTATTTGTTTAGACAACCTCGTTTAGCCACATCATTCACTACATATCTTGTGTTTGTTCTCCTTCGCCTGATCAATTTTTATACGTTCGAAATTTTCAATTAATCTAATCAATCTGCTTTTTATTAATTGCTTTAAAAAAATGATACCAATGAAAAACAAAAAATAACTTGGGAATTTTAGTACAATCAAGCCATTAATATATAAAAATAGTAAAATGGATGTTGTATTATTTTGTTTTTATTTTATTCGTGTATCTTTAATATATGACTATATTCTTTTGTTGCAATTTATTCTAATGATATCATTTACATTTTAGATTAAAAAAATTTTCAACGAATTCAAGTATTCCATGGAAAAGTTTGAAGTACAAGGGACTTACTAAGACCGTCATAATCAAGATTAGACATAGATTACTCTTTTTTTTAATATGGATCTGTCTAGGGGTGCAACAAATCCTATTTTTTTATATAAAGATTGTAAATTTTTGGGATTAAGACCCACCAAATCTTTGTGTCGATTATAACCAGTTTTACTTGCTCTAATCGAGAATGGTGTAAAATGACCAAATCTAACCAAGAAACTTCTAAGATTTAGTAGGATAGGGTGAAAATATTACCAAATTCTACCAAATCTTAGAAGTTTCTTGGTTAGACTTGGTCATTTTACACCATTCTCGATTAGAGCAAGTAAAACTGGTTATAATCGACACAGATTTGGTGGGTCTTAATCCCAAAAATTTACAATCTTTATGAAAACAAATCGGATTTGTTGCACCGCTAGATCTGTCGTATTTCTTTCATTGAAAAGTTGCTCTGGTATCAAGTAAACTGTTGTGTAATAATTTATAAAGTGTCTCCAGAAATTGAACATACAGATTTAATTATTATTTTTTTCGGTAATTGTAACTCGCATAAAAAATTGAAATGATAATTTGAATAGAGGATTTTTTTCAGCAGTGTCACATATCCAAGATTTTGGAGATGCCACCACGTCTTCCACGGGAGATGCCGCATCTCGCGCGAGAGATGCGGGTGTGGGTGGGGGGGATGCGCATCTCTAAAGGAGATCTTACATCTCCAGTGGTGAATGACCATATCTCTCGAGTGTGGGTGTCGCGCCTCCCGCTGGAGACGCGGCATCTCCCACGGGAGATGTGGTGGCATCTCCAAAATCTTGGATATGTGACACTACTCCTTATTTTCTAGAGACTTTGTTTCTCTATCAAAAGAAACATTTATTTTGAAGTCCTAAGTGCTGAAAAACAAAATTTTGGGAATGCAGTGAGATTTTCATCTTGCTCAAATCTTTGTTGGAAACAAATTTCTTGTCCTATGAAAGAATGAGAAATCTTTTGGTAGCTAATTATGAAGATGAAAGAGAATGAATTGCTAATCGAAAGTTGTTGATTGTGAAAGTATACTCTACAAAAAAAGCATTTATGTAGCCGAAAGAATTCTCTATTAGAATTAGTAGATCTGAAGACTTCAACACAACTGCTTGAGTGAGGATTTGTAGAAAACCGAGACTTTGACTTCCGTTTGAAGCTTTTTGAGAAAGATTTTATTTAATAGAGCAAATGATCCGCCTCCGATCTTCTCCCTCAAACGGCATTCAATTGACAAAAAATCCAAGAGACATATTTTCCTTTTTTATTTTTATTAAAAATTTCAATATTTTTGCTATATTTGACACTTTGGAATCTTCTGTAAATCAAATGCAGTTCGATGAAGGAAAGTTGGAAATGAATCATTTACTCTATCAAATAAAATCTTTTCCTTAAAACTTTCGAATGAAAACCAAAGAGTTGATCTTCGATGAACCGTTATTCAAGCATTTGTGTTAGAGTCTTTGAACCTATCAGTCCTAATCGAGAATGCTTTTAGTTGCACAATTAATTTTTGAAATTCCTGTTAATTATTATAGAAATGGACGCGATAGACATTCTCATGAAAGAATAACAAGGAAAGATCACAGACGGACCTTGGTTACTATTTGAATTGCTGTTTCGATTCTTTACGTGAGTTACTATAATAGAAAAAAATCGAAATCAGATCGATTTTCGAAGATACTCTATATCAATTACGCTTACTAACGTCAAAGAAAAGATCAAAAACGATCAATATATGCAAATGATTCTTATCTAAGACATCTTTTATACTTTATTAGTTATATTCAGTAAAGTATACATTATATAAAAAATTTGGTTAAAATGAATCTGCATAACTGTACAACAAAAATTGAAATTCGAAAGTTCGATAATCAATAATTTCATATTTTAATAGTTATACAACAATATAAAAATTGAGTGTTAAATTTGAAATAAATAAAACACATTTGTTGACTTGTGTAACAAAATAACGCTCGTTTCTTTTCTTTTTTTATCTTTCTTCCTACATCTAAATTATGTTATGTGCAATAATGATCTCATTATTGGTAATAATTCATTCTTGTCTTTTGGTGATAATACTTTTCGTATGTTGAGTCGAAGTTGTTTTTCCAGTGTTTGCCAAGAGATAAAATGACCAACGAGTTCAGTAAATAAATACGTAGATTTTTCAAAACCATGACTTGTTTCCATATATTTCCATAATAGTTCTGTATAATAATTTTGTGCACGATATACAGTCATACCATCATTAAGAATTGGTTCATTGATATCAGGATCTGTTGAAAAACCTTTTGTTAATATAAATATAATAAGTGCTAATTGAATTATTCTTTGATCATATTGTGCAATGCATACAAATGAATTAAAGATTTTTTTAATTTGAATATATATTTCATTTCCATGAACTTCTTCTAATATACTTGAATTCCATGGTACATCAGAATCAGTTTCCATGATTTCATTAGTTTCACTTTTATATGATAGTGTACCATTAAGCAAGATCAATGGTAATAGATTAAATTTAATTAACGTAACTTTATCATCAACATTTAATTCATTAAATTCAGGTATCTGTTTGAAAAATGTTAAAAGACGCATTATTGGTACTGAACGAGAATTTATATACTGTAAAACGGTTGTTGCATATATAGTTGGATCCCATGGAAGACCATCACGAGCAGCTGAAATAAATTTATAACATCCAAATTATTAACTTACATGCACAAGAATTGTAAGAGATCGAATCGAGTTTTATTCTTACGAATAGTGGATATACTTAGTAGTGTCCAATAGTATGCATTTAGATTAGATGACACTTGTACGACTTCACTCACGATGAAAACATTCGAGATGATACTTCGCGTTTGAGAGGAGATCTTAGTCATTGAATAGGGCATGTTGAGACTAAAAGAAACATAGAAGGATTCTTTCCTATGCGCTGATCTTTTGGGATTATAGTCTTTGCACTGGGTATTTTTACATTTGACATGTTATTTATAAACAAACCGGACAAATGAAGTTTGGCTTACAACAGTGTCCACAGACAAAAAACTACAATATTTCATGTAAAATCTAGTTTTTGTTTGTGGATTTGATATTTCGAGATAAAACCATTATTTTTGACTGAAACTTTTCGGAGATTCTAATGACTGTAAGATTTGTCCATGAGCAAAGTTTTAGAACAAAGTTCATATGTTCGGTTATGTATAAATACTATGCCATAGGAAAAATTTCAATGTGACAGTTCTACTTCCAAAAGGACAGCAGATGAAGAAGAATTCTTCTATTAGGCTTCTTCTGGTCTCAACAGGTCCTACACAATGATTAGAGTCTCCAGTTAAACACGAGAAATCATCTCGAGTGATTCCTTCATCAGCAAAGTAGATTTTGTGTCATTATGCAAAAGATACTATTTGAATTTCGTAGCTGAAATACTGCAATTGAAGTCATTAGTTAAATTATCGAAGAAACTAACTACTTAGAAATCAATAATATCAAGAATAAGCTGATATGTATATTTAGTCGTAGTCAATGGATTACGCCGTCTTGCTAAGCACTACGAAGTGCATCAATCATTCATACGAAAAAGATTTAGTTTATGGAGTTACGAGGTAAACTTAGCCGTGACTTGACCCGAAATTCACATAAGCTATTTATTGTTACAAATGAAAGAAAAATAGTTCAGATAAATTGATTAGAATGTCAAATGTATAAATTAATTTAGTTTTATTGAATTATTCTATATTTTCTGTGACCATACTAACCGAGTTCAATACGTTGTTCGTATGAATTTTGAATAGTTTCTACACGATGTAAATCCTCTTTAGTAAGTAATGTCCGTCGTGACTCTGATAATGCTGGTGATTGAAGTTGAGTGACATCATTTAGACGAAGAAAATTAGTTTCTTTTGATGTAAATAACTATACAAAATAAAAGTATATATATATATGATAAATTCGATTGATAATCAATAAAGATTAACTTACATTATTGAAAGATGTCGATGATAATACTTGACGTTTGTCATCATTTATCTCACGTTGCTGTAATGTGAAAGTCTGATTGTCTTTTGTTATGCGCCGTTTTGGTGCTTTTTCGTCGGCCTGAAAAATAAAATTATTTCAATTTTTTTTTTACTTAAGGTTATACTTTAAATCAATACTTTTTTCAATCGGTCGCGTTTCATTCCACTATTAAAACATTTTGTTAGACGACATGCTGAACAACGTCGTCGTGTTTCGATTGTTATCTCACAAGTACCTTTACGTCGACATCGTAAGGTTGTCTTTGATAAGAAATATAAAAAAAAAATAGATATGATAATAATAAATAAAAGTTTAAGTCTTACGAGTTTTTTTAGAGCATTGCGACGAAAAAATGCTTTACAACTTTCACATGTAATTGCATCAAAATTATATCCAAATGCTAGTGAGCCACAAACAACACAAGTTAATGAATCATGTTTTGATTTTCTCTGATTTGACATTTGTTTTTTTTCTCTTAACTATACATATAAGAAATAGAGTTTATTTTTCAGTAAAAAAAAAAATTTTGTAACTTATTACTGATGAATAAGGAAATTCATTATCATTATCTTTTGATTCAATGATAACTGATTTAATTAATGATAAATTACCACTATTTTGAATTTGTTCAATAATACTTTCATCACCGGTTATAATCATAATTCGACGTTGTTTTGCACTTGTTGGTGACAATATTTCAGAAGCCATAAGTAGAATATAGATTTTTTTAATACTTTCTAAAACAAATATTTGAAATAGAAAAATACTTCATTATAATGATTTTTATCATTTTAAAACACATAAACAACAACTATATATCAAAAGATCAGGTTTCATGTGATTATTTGAGAAACTAGAATCTGAAATGGTGAACAAGTGACGAAGAAAAGCAAGAAATGAATTTCTTTTAGAAAATCAAATTCTTAAGTTCACAGCTGAATTCAGAGACTTCTATATATGAAAATTGTTTCATAATAAGATTTATTCCCGGAATACAACAGATTTTCTTAGCTTGCTTCGAACCCGGATTCGTATGAAAAATATCAAACTGCTATTATTGAAACATAATTCGAAATATGAGTCTTGCAGATAAAAAAACCTCTCTAATTAAGACGTAAAAGCTAAAATAATAAGAAAAAAGAAACGAACAGTATATCGACTATCCCATTTATTATAATTTTCATATATTAGGTGCATATTATAATATAGCCATTAACTGATTTCTTACTTGTTTTTATGTACCTGTGTTTGTTTATCATTACACCTGAATAGGTCTCCGACTATTTTGTTAAGCATCCTTGTCTGTCTGTCTTACTGTATTCTAGCGTGATCATTAGATTTTTTTGTCGCAAACGACGCATAGACGTCCCATTGTGATTGTAAAATGATTGCTGTATCCTGTCAGTATATATAGAGATAGAGATGACATCATTACATAAAAAAACATGTGGTTAGTCATGGATGATCTATGTAGTTAACTAGAAAATATGTTTTTTTTTGTCAAAATGATACTATCTAATGAAGTAATATTATATCATAAGAAGAAATGAAAGTTTCTCTTTTAACAACAAATTTTTATTTTCCTAATTATTATTGAATAAAATATGCAAAAATATATTTAATAGGCTATAAACTTACAGACTGACATATGAAGCACTATTTTTGTAAAAGTTACATAAAGAAATTTTAATATATTTGACTAATAAGAAAAAATGAATCAAAAATAAAATGTCATGTTCATTCTCTTGAACTAGATCAGACCCTTTTTAGATCTTTTAATCATGTTGATCTATGACATCAATTATACTTCGGAAAAATCATAAGAAATATTGTTTCATTTTCATGTTAACAAAATTTTATGATTTGATTATTGACATTATTCGTTGTTCATTTCTATTTTGGAAAAATAGAATCATACTTTCTTGATTGTATATAAATTTAGCAAATGATACTTAACAAACTAAGTCTTTATGAAGGAATATAAAAAGAAAATAAGGACATCGGTGAAACTGTAGTGAATTTTACTTAAGTTGAAATACTTTTCACTTTTTCCGATATGAAATAATTGCTTTTAATAGTTTGCCAACTGTTATTCTTTAGAAATGAAACGAGGTAAGTATAGGTCATTTTCATTAATTCTTTCCATGAGCTCGTAATTTGACATATTTATCACGTTAATAGTTTAGCTATTCATAGAATAAAACTTTTGCTAACAACACCCTCGTACTCAATTGATGATTTGCACGCACTATATTGAAAATATCTTAATACTTAAGAAAAGATAGTCGAACGAGGGAACTCTTTTTGGTGTCAAATCAATTTTTGATTGAGACAAAGTTTATCTATTGAGTACTATAGAATAATAAAAAAAGAATTAATCTCATTGAAAACTTTGTTCCTGAAAATTTTGAAATCGAAATATCAAACAACACTAAGTTTTATAGCTTATGTTATCGATCTCTAGTATATTGGATCTCGATATGAACCACAATTTAGTTATATATGAATAAGAAAAATATTTCATATGAGAACAAGTTAAATGTTTACCAAGAGATTGATATAAATGAGATTTATGAAAATATATTCAAACAGTTGACTCTATCTCCCGTAGGATATGATATATTTTGACTGTACCCACCGAAAACTATAGATGAAAAAAACTAATTTGTATCACGAGCTGACTTTTTTGTCACACTAAATTTGTGTTTATTTTCACCTGTAGTTAAATGTCTAACTTACCTGTATTGTTGGTCTTAACTTTCTATGTCTGCATGAGCATCAAGAGTTAAAGAAAAAAGGACAAATAGTCTCAGAATAATATAAATCGTAAAAACTATTCTAATATTTATATGTTTAAATAGTGTATAAATAAGGGCGCAGTATCCGAACGTACTCAGCAATGTGCAGAAACAAAAATGTCGAAAAGTTCGAAGATGGCAAGGGTAAAATCTTAGTAGAGTTGATGTTGTAACAATGGTCGAATGAAATTTTAGTTAGCCTGACAAATAACCAAAGAGGATGAGGCGCAACTCTTAATCATAATAATAACATGTACAACAAAATATTTTTCTCATAGAATATAAAACAATAATTTAAAAAAATAGAATATAGATAGAGATAAATTAATCATTGCTTCATTTGGAACAAACAAGAACAGTTATACAGATGAGAAGTTACGCTAATAAAGTCGAATTATTAGACTAATTGATAAAAAGGAATTACAAAAGTATACACAAGGCTATCTAGTTTTATAAATACTATGATGTATCATATTTTCAACACTCATTCACACTCTTATAAAACAACTGACAGATCAAAAATAAAAAAACCTAACTATGTACAATATCGTATTGATACTCTTGCTGATCATTATGCAATTGATGACATAAATTTAGACGAATATCTAGAAGGTTTATTGTTTGTTGGTGCTAAGGATAAGAAAAAAACAATCATACATGATTGATTCTTAGATATTTTTTATTGAATTACTGTTTGTGTAAAATGATTAAAAATATAGTTTTGCCCATTTTTTCTTTCCTCAACAACATTAACACTACTGAGATCTTACACTTGCCGTCTTTGAACTTTTCGACATTACTCAGGCATACCCACTATCCTACAGATCTATGTGATTATCTATAAAACTTAGTATTATATTAATAGATTTGCAATCATGGACGGTATCAACAAAACAAGATGTCTCATTTTTTTCTGGAGAACTTTTTTTTTAATGTTTATTTCTCAAAAAGAATTATCTATGCTTTCAAAATAAATTAATCAATCATTAAACTTTCCTACAATATATATATATATATACATCATAGAGATTAGGAAAATAAAATGGTTCATTATCGATTAGAGAAAATGATCATTCGTTAAGCAATGACAATTTTAATAGAGATTCAACAATAGAAAAATTAATCAGAACCTAACAAGGAAATGAAAACGAACGTGAAAGGTGTTACAGAAAGGAAAAGACGTTGATGTGAAATTTGGTTGGATAGAAAAAATGATAGATTTTATAATAGTATAGCAGAATAGGCACGAAAAGGCAATAGAACTTTGTTAATATAATAACTGTGCATTTTGCTCTCAAACGGAACTACCCGAACTGTAACTTTCCGTTCGAGGTCTTATTTGATTCACAAGCAAATCTCGATAAGATTAGAAAAATCCTAAAGGGGTCCATGCCTATGGGTGTCTCGTGAGCCGAGTTATGATCGTTTTACTATACCTTTCACTCATATCTAGGCATCTACAGAATAATCAAATACTAGAATTCCGCTCTATAATTCAGCCTTATAGATAGTTTTAATGACTCTTGGAATATTCTGAAAGTTTTAGCCGAAAAAAAACGTTCCTTTGTCAAGATATTGAATTTTCAAGTAAACTCGATTTTTGTAGCAAGCGACTATTTTGTTGGAAATTCAATATCTTGACAAAGCCATATTCTTTTCAGATGAAAACTTCAGGATATTCCTAAAATCATCAGAAATATCTATGAGCTTCATTTCATGTCGAAATTCTTTTATTTGAATTTTTTGTAAAAGCTTTAAAATGGATCAAGACTTCAGTAAGACGATCATAGCTCGGCTTCAAAGACCTACGGACAGGAACTCTGTTATGCCTTTTCAAGTCCAACCGAGACTTCCTTGTGGGCCTAATAAGAGCTTAAACGACGAGTAACAATTCGCATAGTTTCGTCGTTAGAGAATATGTCGTAAAATAATTGTTTTTTTTTGCTTAGCATTTTTTTCTCATAAAGCACCTGAAAAATACTCATTTTTTATTTAGCATTTAAAATAATTGACATTTCAGTGAAAACCTTAACAGAAAACAAGGTATGGAAAAAAGTTCACAGAACTTTTGTAATCGATATATCTCTGCAGTGACTTAAGTAATTTCAACAAACAAATAGTCATTTTAAAGAGCGTTTGAAAATATACTTATTTTGTAAAAATAAAGGTTCTAGCTCAAGACGTAAGAGATTCAATAAAGAAAGTTTGTTACACGTGTTTTTGGTTACTCAAAAGTAAGGACTTGAACAGATTAAACGGCCGCATATTGCAGTTGAATTTTTCATCACTTAATACGTTGTATTAAAAAAAACAAAATATGTCACAAGATGCAGCATGAAAAGCTCTACAATCTACAAAATAAAGGTCATTTTAATTGTGCGAATCGTGTGTTTTTGTTTTTCAACAAGAGTAAAATTCTGTGCGACCGATTTTCGACGCTGTGAAAGGATCATCTTTTTTTTCTACACAAATAATTCATTTCATCTTTCATCACCTAATACATTATGTTTAAAACAAAAAAACAAAATATACCACAAGACGCAGTGTGAAAAGCTCTACAATTTACAAAGAAAAATTTATTTGTCAAAACTGCTTAAGTAGTTGCAAAAACATGTCGATAGTAAAATTGTCGTGAACCTTTCTTCTGTATCTTATTTTAGACGTTTTGTAATCATAGTATATTAAGATGTATTTTTTTTTGGATACATCATCTATATCAGAATATCTAAATCGTCAATCAATAATCTACATTAAACTACTCATTATTTGAAATCTATTTAGTCAATCATTAGTAAGTTTAATTTTCCAATATTTAACTTTTTCTCATATGTAATATATAACATCTAATAAACAACAAATGCAAAACATGCGTTCTTGGTGACTTTATTTAAAATATGTATAATCCCTCGC